AGTAAACGTCTATGCAAATGATTAGCAAAGAGAGAATGCAGCAACCATCCATGCAAATGACCAGCAAAGAGTATGTGATTTACCTCGAATGCACTTCCAATTGTATCACCAATGTGATTGAGAGAAGTTGTAAGTGCATCAAGGCCCTTGCGAAATGTAGGATTGTCTGCTTTTCTGTAGCTCTCAGCAGTTTGGTATGGCTGATAAAACAGAAATAAAATTAAAATGAAGCTTAAAGGCAGCAGCTTATTATTAGCATTTTTGGGAGAAAAAGAAGGATGGTGGGGGTTTTTAATAAAATAAAGAGAGGATTAACCTGGGAATGTGTTGAGGAAGGGAGGAATTCCTTGGGGTTGGTCCTAGTGGTAGCAGGGAAGGAAGGATGGGAGATGTCATCATCATCCAGGATTGCTTTGGCTTTCCTAGCTAGAACACCCCAAAAACCACCAGGTTCATTTGAACTTTTCATTGAAGTGTAATCATAGGTAGGAGAACCCTATGTTTTGGAGCAAGCACATGCCAAGAAATTATAGGGAGTATTAGTACTAAATTAAATAAATAACTGGTTTTCCCTTTCCTTTTTTTTTTTTTTTTGTGTGTTGTTTTGGGCGGGGGGTATTTAGTTTTTAATCATGGCGGCTAATAAGGAAAGAGGAAATATGGGTAGATGATGAGACTGGAGATAAAAGACAGTATTAGACTACAGAACCACTGGAGATAAAATTAGTTGGATGACGAGAATACGAATTAGTAATACTAGCGTTAATGACCAGTATGGTACCTAAACATATACATGAAAAAAATAATGGAGAAACGCTAAGATTTGTAAGGATTGATGAATTTATGAATTCAAGGAGACGACAGCCCCATTCCACATATACAGACGACATCATAGTACAGAAGATGGAATTGGCACGAAACAAAAGAAAAAAGGAAACGGGAAAATGAATATTAAATAAATAAGAAGATAGATAGACCTTAGATGGATTGTTGAAGGAAGAAGGAAAGGCGGAATTGGCGGCATAAGCGGAAGATAGAGAAGAGTCGCGATGGGCGGCGGAGGCTCTGATGGCCTGAGCTGCCAGCGAGGAGGAGGCTGTGGCGTGGTATCCTCCTCCTCCTCCCCCTGTTGCTGCTGTTCCAGGTGCAGGGGGTGGTGGTGCAGGAGAACTAATAATGTCTTCCTGGAAAGTGGGTGAGCGGGCGATCCCTTGTCTTCTTCTGTACGCCATTCCGTTTCTTTGATTCTGTAAGCTTTTTTCTGTGGGTTTGGTTGATGGATTTGGATGTAAAGTAGATTAATACTCCTACATTTGGGATTAATTAGATTTGATTAGAAAAATAACCCATCGAAAAAAAGAAAAAGAAAAAGAATCGGCATTACAACTAGTGCTGTGTTTTTCCTTTATTAATACCAATATCGAGATAGATCACCGATCACCGAGGCCTCACTGCATCGCCACCACCGCTTGACCACCATTCACAGGTGCTATAGATAATAAAGTTAGATTCGGTTTCTTCCCCCCCGCCGCCCCTCCCCCTCTCCCAAATCAGCGCAAAAGGAAACAGAAGAGACCCAAAGAAACACAGAAAAATGAGGAGTCGTCAGAAAGACGGACCAGAGAGAGAAGAAGAAGAAGAAGAAGAAGAAGAAGAAGAAGAGAGAGATTGGAAATGTATTTGGATGATGCATCTACTGTGTTCGTGTTGGGCATGGATATGGTTCGTTATAGTTAGTTACTTGTATGGATTTTGCTTTGTCCTGCTACGGCGCGCGTATTTAACCAATAATGCAGGTTTGTTTGGATAGTGTATTATTTGAAATATTATTTGAAATAATTACTGTAGCACTTTTTGTGATGTGATGTATGTGAGATAAAAAGGTGATTGAGAATATAAAAAGGTAGGTTGGAAAATGTGTTTGTGATGCAAGCAAAATATTATTTGAAATAATGGAGGTATCCAAACACTCCGATGCAAGCAAAATATTTTTCCCTTTTATTCACTCACTGTCAGCGTTTATGCAAAACTCCATAATTAAATTTGAAATTTACTCTTTATTAAATTAATTCATTCTTTGGCAACCAACAAATAATAGTCAGCTGAACAATGAGTAAATGACCACAAAAGCCATCAAACTACTCCCTCCGTTCCACTTTGATAATTTTGTTTTTTTTTTCACACAATTTAAGAAAAAGTAGTTAACTTTGTTGGAAAAGTAAATTTAAATTGCTATTTTTCTAAAATACTCTCACATTAAATATGATATAACTTTATGGGAACTTGAATTGATGGTAAAAAAAGAATCAATTCTCATTAAATGAGGTAGGTTTATAGTAACAACTACTTACATTGAATAAGGGTACTTTAGAAAAATTAAAATACAATTACATTTTTCAATTGAAAAGTGGACTATAATTTGGGACAGATGAAAAAGGAATCCAGGATTATCAAAGTAGGAAGGGAGTATTTAAAATTGCACTGATTGCATGCTTTGTACAAAAGTGGTCGGAAATGATTAACACAAACTTTTTGTCGCAAATTGTACCTCCCCGTCACTTCCTTCTACACCACCTCTCAGCCACTGTGTCTCCACTACCCCTTATCCACTTTTCCTCATCCCTGCCACCCTGCTGCACATCACCCCTATTTCCGACACATCTTCCTCCATCTCCTTCCTCTTTCCCCCCTTCGTCATATCCTCTCCTCCCCTCCATGACCAAGATCTAGTCACAGAGGAAGTAGGAGTGCGAATTCTTCCAGACGGGCCTTTTGAGTTGCTGGGAGCTGTTGAAGAAGGCTTGTCTCTTCTTGTAATTAATTGTACTTGGTTTTTTCGGTCGAGTGTTTTTCTCAACATTCTTTTTTGCTTTCTTAATTTTTCTTCGTTTAAAGATTTTTTCTGTTGTTAGTGAAATATTAGCAATTAAGAGTTTCTTTGTGTCGATGTCTTATCACCTTCCATCTTCATCGAAGCTCCAGTTTAGACATTCTTCCTCTCATGCGGCCTTTTTGCAATAGGCATCAGTAGACTAGTCGTCGTAGCATTAGAAACTACTACTAGTATGTGTATGTCCATTCCATTCTTGGGACTCCATTGACAATCCAAAACCCAATGCCACGAAAAGTTAATTTAATAGCAACAAATAGTTCCGGTACTTATGAATGGCAAATGGGGTGAGTACCTGCAGGTGCAGGTAAGGGATGCGGCTGGGCCTGGGTGGGGGAAATTTTTCTGGGGCGGATATACTTATCCGTTAAAAAAAAGTATATATAATGTTTAATTTAATTAATTATAAATTTATAATAAGAGGAGTGTTTGGATAACAGGTTTTTTCAAATAATATTTCGCTTGCATTATTAACACATTTCTCAATCTACCTTTTTATATTCTCAACTACCTTTTTATCTCACATATATCACATTACAAAAAGTGTTACAGTAATTATTTCAAATAATACTCTATTCAATTATTATTTATAAGTACTATATATAATGTATATTAGTATATATAATATAATTAATATTAACAATTATATTAATAATTATATGTGTTTACTAATAAAAATTATTAATTAGTTATGTTAAATTTATTAATATATTTATACTAAAATTTCTAATTATATTTAACACATTAACACTTTTTTTTAAATAAAATAATAATTTGGTGATTGTATTTGTTTCAAAAGTAAAATTTTACTATTTTAGTTGTATTTATCTCATCACGCGCAGTTGTATTCAAATAGTTTTTATTTGATTATTTTTATAGATTTCAATTATGAAATTATAGTAGATAATAGCCCCATTTGGCAAGTGAATTTTTTAGATGTTTGTCTAAAACTTTACTGTAATTTAATGTAGAAGTTTTTAAAAAAAATTTTAAAATGTGTAAATTTTTGAATATTTTGAAGTGTATAGTTTAAAAATTTTGAGAAGTTTTTTGAGGTTACTATAGCTAAAATTTTTTTAAAACTTGTAACAGACAAACTTGGCAAAAAACTCAAGTGCCAAACACGATGATTTTGTAATGTGTTGATATTCAAGTACTTAATTTTTTGTTAAAATTTAGGGACTGTTTGGAACCTCAAGTTTTTACCAAGTTTGTATAATATTAGTTTTTTAACAACTTTTACTACAGGAATCCCAAAAAACTTATCAAAGTTTTTAACCTACACACTTCAAAAATACACAAAAAACATTCCCTTCAACTTTTCTTCTTTTTCCTCCCCCACCCAACCCACCACATACTCCGTCACCGGCGACCACCACCACCACCACTTCCGGCGCCAATCACTATTCCGGCAGCCAGTTCCGGCCAAATTCTTTTTTTTTCCTCTCCCTCACCCCTCTCCCCTTTGACCGATCTGTTGGTGCTCTTTTTCTTTTTTTCTTTTTTTTTCTTTCTCCCTTCCCCCTCCCCTCTTCGCCTCTGCCTCCCCCGGCACCCTCCCCCTCCCGCTAGTAGCAATCTGGTCGCGCGACCAGATCGCAAAGTGGGGGAGGAAGGGGAAGGGGTGAGGGGAGGAGAGGAGGAGAGGGAAAAGAGGGGTGGCGGGGAAAGGAAGGGGAAGGGGAGAGGGAGAGGGAGAAGAGGGATGGCGGGGGAGGTAGAGGGAGGGGTGGCGGGGAAGGCAGAGGGGAAGAGAAAAAAAGCAAAAAAAAAAAAATTTTACTGTAAGTTGCGGCCATGGAAGTCTCGGGAGAGGGAACAAGGGAGGGAAGGGAAAGGGAGAAGAAGCGGGAAGGGAGAAAAGAAAAGAAAAAAGAAAGAAAGAAAATGAAAGAAAGAAAATGAAAAGGAAAAAAAAATTCATTTTACAAAAGTTTTTTTACAACTTCTACAGTGATTTACAGTAAAATTTTATACAAACACCCAAAAAACTCACCTTCCAAACGGATCCTTAGTTACAACGCAATTATAGGATAATTTTTCATTTAACCCCGCGGGCGAAACCCCGGGGAGGGGGGGGGGGCCAAGGAGAGGAGGGGAGGGGTGCAGAGGCGGCAGGTACTACTGGGCAGCGGGGCGGGGGACGTTGCCATTCCTACCCGTACCAGTCCCAATTGCTAGTTTGCTGGAGTCTCCTGCTTCTTTGGTTTCTACTTGCCTCTGCATGAGGAATTCCTGTCCCTCTCGCCCCTTCCACCCACCCCGTCTAAACCAGTTCAAGTCCCAAGAAGACAAAAAAGGAGGAGGAAGGGGTGAAGGAAAGCAGAGAGGAAGTGGAAGGTTGATGGGGATAGGGGTGGGCGATGGGAGGGTAGTGATAGTGGACCAGGTGAAGGAGGGGATCGTGACCGGTGAGAAAGAAAAAATAGGTGATGGTGCTGGCGTTTTTCAACTCCAATTCTGCTCAACTTGAGAGCCGGCTCCGCGTCCATAGCATCCACTCCCCCAAGGCCATGAGGAAAATGATGACTCAGTGTTTGTATTGCTGCTACTGGTGGTGGTGTCGTTGTTATTAGTAGGTAGGGTAACGGCATGGACGGGCTTAGAGGCATAACTATTAGTAGTGATTCTTGGTTCCAATGATGATAGCGGACGACTACCACTAGTAGATTTTAATGCTAGCAAGGCCGTATTAGCTGTAGCAGTAGCATTATAAAGCCTAGTTCTTTTCTGGCCTTGGACGTGGAAATATGAAGCTGAAGCCCTCTTGTGACGGGTCTCGGCATTATCCCTGTCCCAATTTGGGCTTTTTATCAACTGTAGCTCATCATCATCATCATGCCTCTGCCCGCCTTGCTTGTTCCTTTCCGCTGCCTCGGGAAGCTTCATTTGATTGAGCTGAGCCTTCAAAAAGCACATATTGAACGTGAATGGTTGATCAGACAAGGAGGCAGGGGGTCCCTCCATCGTAGTAGTATTCTTCTTCTTCTTGCTCGAATCCAGGGGTTGCAATACCTTCATTGACGTAGCCAAACCACCCGTGGCCTCGTGGCATCTTCCCCACGTAATATTCACATGGTTTGAAGATGATTTGCTTTGTGATTGTGAGCCCCAGTCTTCTGCTGCAGCTCTGCAGCTTTTCCTGTTTCTCGACTTCAATTCAGAAGTTACATTTCCATGAGAATGCTCCAAAGCTAAGACAACCGGCAGGTGTACACTTTCATCCAACTTGCCTCCTCCTGCCGTATCAGCACTAGTAGTCACCATACCAGCCTTGCCACTTTTGTTCTTGTTGCTGACTATCCATGAATTATTCAAATTCCCTGCACCGATGCCACCAACACTAACATCACAAGAGCATGAACCCAACCAAGACTCGGTAGTACTGCTTTTGCCATCTCGTGTGACTTTCCCTCTGCCACTTGCACTAACCACATTTGCTTCCCCAGTATTGCCTGCAGTTTCTGCACCATTATCAGATATAGAAGCATCCTCAGTACAACTCTTTCTTCTCTTACCAACGTTCTCTTCTCCTCCCTCACCACTACCACGATCAATTATTATGTCAGCCGTCGTCTCAAGTGCAGAGCAGCAGCATCCATGAAGTAAGCCTGAGAATCTGTGAGATGCACTGGTGCAGACAGAATTCCAATGGTGGGGTTCTCTTAGGCCGAAGCCACATGCAGCAGGTGTTTGACGTTGATCTGTAGCCTGAATCCCCCAACCTGTTGAACCCACTGTTTGACAAGTAGAACTACTTTCATGCAGTCCTCGTGTCTTCTGGGCGGCGAACATATGTGCAATTGGTCCCAGATCTTTCACAAACAACAACAAACTCTCTCTGTAATTAGTACCCTGGTGACTTGTCTGCCAAAAACAAAGATAAAATAAGATTATCAGCAGTATCAACGGTTAACAAATTGCCCAAACACGAAGCATGATCCTCAATTGCTGTTCAGCTTAATAAAATCTCTCTGCATCTCACTTGTTAGCGATAAAGGCACAAAAAGTTGGATACAGCCACTCGATCATTACCCTAATGTATGAAAAATCACCAATTTTGGACAACAGTGCGCACATCAGGTGTATACATTACAAACAGACAGATAACATACAAGAACAAGTGGCTTGGCGGGGAAGCAATTTGAGCCAAATATATTTTTGTCACTCTGACTCTGAGGTATATACATGGAACGGCGATCTGTTGCAACATAATTTGACCTTCGACCAACTGTTGCTCCTGCAAGGAAAGAATCAGGGGCAATTAATCAGCAAATGTCACTGTAAAGCTTAAATTTTGGGCAATTGGATCCAGTTACATTCCAAATAAGAACGGGGACCTATCTCTGTGAGATAATAACTTGCTCTTGCTGTTGGATCAAATAGGCTACCCTGAAAAATGATTTATGTGCAATGCAAAGATGATTCCCTATAACACAGGGCCAAAACCCGATAGTCCAGACTTTCTCATATATAAATTATCCCTCAATTTGGTATGACAATGCCAAAAAAGACGCAACAGTGGTAATCCAGTCTGATGTTTATCATTGTTGGTTGACTTCACTCAGCCAGAATTAATTTAGAAAGCAATTCAAAATCCTTCTTAGGAGTTACTAAAGCACTAAGCTTTCATGATAGGTTGGAGAAAATGGAAAAATAACGTCGAACTTGCATCGTCTTTAGCAAGATAAATTGGCTCACCAGAAAAGAGACCACAGCTGTTTTTGTTGGTATGGAAAGCCGTGCTACTAGCTACCAAGGGTTTTCTCCTACTGGCTTTCCCAACTACGGATGTATCAAGCGAACTCAGTGTGCCCTTTGAATAAAAATTAGCTGCTACGCTACTGGCCTTGACATGTTTGGTAAGTCTATCACTGTTGGCTTCATTGTGTGCTCTCCTTGTAGATCTTCGTCTTGTCCCCGAAAATTCCACTTCAAAGTTTTCAGGATCAGTCCCCAAAACATGAAAAACCCTCACAGCCAATTCATGTATAGCACGAGCCTGTATGTGATTAAAGCTCACTGTTAGTGACCTTCAGGGGTAGGCCAGAAGGTTTTCAAAATGGAGATGCTGTGTAAAGTTTATGCCAGGAATCAACTGAATACCTGTTTGAAATAAATAGTAGCCGATGAATTAAAATGCATTGCGTTTCTTGTTATAAGAAATACGTCGTGCTGCATGTAATATGCACATGGAGATATCAAAGATTAGCAGTCAGGCAATGCTGCAAATGTTTCATACGTAATGCAAACAAAATTGAAGTTTGACTTCATCTGCAAAGAAAGGCAATTTACAATTATGAAGTGATGTGCTCTGCGGGTTTCGGCGTTCTCTGTCCGAGGGTTCGTTCTCCATATGGTGATGTGAAATAGTGGTGCAGAAACTCTCAGAAGCAGTGCCAATTAATTGTATAGAACTTAGAGATGTTGGAAGTTTCAAATTGGGAAGTAATTAGATCCTTCTTCAACTTGGGAAGTCATTAGATCCTTCGCTGTTGATCTAGCCACGAGGCGGGTGACCAAGTGGAGCATTTTGGAGTCTTAAGTTGTGTGTGCAGTGATTAGAGAGTTTCTTAGTCCTTTTAACATTCGGCTATCTAATCTGGAGTTGGATCCAGAGCAGTATGGACTCCTTTGGCTATCTAGAATTGTTCGCTGTTGTATATATCGATCATGAAACCCTTGTAAAATGAAACTAGAAAAGCTTCTTCAGTCAATATTTAAGTACCAAACCTAGAATTAGATTGTACTGCAGGAGTTTTATTCTGATGAATAGACGTATTACAAATGTTAGATCTTGATCCCTATTCCCACCAATTAAGGCACCAGCTCTGCCTAGCTACAAATTAACCCCACTCCTCGGTCACTAAAAAGGATCCAGTACGAATGAGTACTGCGTTTTAGAGACTCACCACTGGCTGGAGAGTAACGAATAGAAGCGGCATTGTCCATGATTTGGTTCTGACCTTTACATATGGAAACGGTAAGCAATCATAGTGAATTTGGGGAAGATGCAAACCTGGAATTGCTCAAGACTGTCGTACATTCCTTCGTGAAGTTTAGCCCTCATGGTACCGAAATCCATGGGCTCTTTGATAATTCGATAGTAATCCTCAACCTATCAAATGCAAAGAACCTTGTAACTTTTTTTTTTTTTTTCAAATTTTAGGTTCGCTGGTCGAAGAAAATGAATATGGAGTAATAGATGAAGAAAATGAGCACAAACCTCATTTGGGTCAACTGGTTCAGCAAATATTTCATAGGTGTCTCTCCTGAACAACAGGGTGAAAGAGCAATTCGTTAAGAATTTGGCATCCCGGGGAAGAAAATTGGCAAGCGTACACGCTGCTGTTCTAAGTGTGTGAGAAAATAGGTACGAGGGGCGAAGAAAGATTGTAGGCACGTTTTGGAGAGAGGAGAGCAGTGAGTGAGTGAAGTCACCTTTGTAGGATGTCAATGACCCGCTGGAGCATATGTTTTTGTGGCATAATTGATGGTTTGCCTGGCAACCATTGAGTGAGAATAATATTCAAGATATGAGCATTTGGTTGGGTCAGTCACTCACATATTAATTAGTTTTTTAAAAAGGAGGAAGAGGAGGAGGGAGCAATACCCACCGCTTGAATCATCTCGCTGAGGAGGAGGAGGAGGAGGAGGGCTGTGACCAGCCTGCACACAGTTCTTTATGTATTTATTTTATTCATTGTAACTCTTAACGATCTGATTATAGTATATATAACAGGGATTTTCCTTTTTCTTTTTTTTTTTCAAAGGGAAAAAAAAAAGTGCAAGAAGAGGAAGCATTTTATATATACAGAGTCAGTCAGTCGGGATATGAATATTGACGGGGAACAGAGATTGAAGTTGAATAGTAGTTACTACTTGTATACAACCAACATATGTATGTATAGTATAATTATAATTATATACAGGGATTATCGCTAGGGAAGGGAAGGGAAGGGAGGGAGAAAGTAAAGGGAGGACGTCGTGATTTGATTTAGACCTGCAGGTTGGGGAGAGGTGATTGATCAGAATGGATGGGGAGAGAGAGTGGCGGTGGTGCGGGGTCTCGAGAATCATCATCATGAGCACAGGAGGCCGCAAGGACGCTCTTCCTCGTCGTCTTCTTCCTGGAAGCAGTACTACTAGGATAATCTCCGCCGCGTTGCCGCATGGATGATGTTGACGGAGATTGGATTGGGTTTTATTTTTACGCGCTTGCTTCTGCAATAGAACATGCATGCAGTACCGATTAGCAGTAGTAGGATTGAATCTGAAGGAATGAAGAGGTACGTACGGTGCTACTGACTCCGCGCGCATAGATTATTTGTTGATACTCATGACTCCATATATATATAAAATATATATATGACTAATTCCTTTTTCCCGTTTCAATATAATCTCTCACCTTCATCCGCAAAAGAATACCAATACTCCTCCTAGTCCTCGATCCATTTTCCTTACAGCTAGTAGTAGTAGTAGTAGTAGTAGTATTCCAGAAGAAACCGCTGACAATTAATTACTCATTTGATTCTTATTTAGTTTGTCCGTTGGTTAGATGAATACAATAATATTAAAGCTGTCGAAGCGGGTGATATTATTATTATTATTATTATTCTTTGGAGATGATCAGTAGAGCTGTCCACAGCAAATTCATCTATTGAATTGAATGGGGTATGGAATATGTACAGATGATGCACGTGATATGCATTTTTTTTTTTTTTTTGGAAAAGGAAAAAAATTTTAAGATTTGATTGCCTGACTCCCGAATCATTCAAGTGACTAGGGTAAGATAATAATAATAAGAAATATACAGTAGTGTGTTTGGATAGTAGATTATTTGGAATAGTTTTTTAAAAAAAATACCGTAATATTTTTTTTTCTATATGATTTATATGAGATAAAAAGATAGTTCAAAAAATATATTGACGATGTAATGCAAGGTAATAAAATTTATTTATCTTTTAAATGCATGAATTAAAATTGATGAATGTATGCAATCCCTTCTCTTCTATGGGTTTTCAAGGTCTCAAAACTCTTCATACCTATTGTTTGGTTGGTACCTATCGGAACGTATGAATCTGTCACTTTGGAAGACCCAAATTTATCAATACCAGATAAATTGGGCACTTTTATTCCATTTCGGGATCTTAAAAGCAGGGAAAAAAATATACTACACGAAAACCAATAAAGAGACCCAGCACCAAAATAGATGCGAGATCAATTATACAAGGAATTAAAGTTTGGCCATACCAAAATTGTTGATTTGATTACCTAAGAGATTGACAATGGTAGAGAAACCGTCGTTGAAGTTTGTTGTTGGTTAAGATAATTGAAGAAGATGGGATTTAAGAGAAAAGAAACAATAAATTGATAAGTTATTTGATTCCATTGTATCATTTTTCAGAATGAGGAATTTTGATAAAAACCCGTTGCCATTGGAGAGAGTCCAAGGGGACTACTGGGTGCTGCTGCAGTGCAAATATCTCCGTCCTCATTCCGACTTCCTCCATAGAAATACTACTAAATACTCTATTTTGATTCCCTCTTAGTATAAAGAAAGAAAGAAGATGATAGATGAGATTAGTCTACTTGCATGGTTCACCTCAATCTCAAATGATGGTATCAGTTCTGGCAACTCTCGAGTGTCATATACTTTCATCAATTGATGTTGGATACGGGGCAGGGACGGTCATCAGGTGGACCGTCCCTGAACTGTTCATGACCAAGATTTGACCCCAAAAATTTGTATGATCCAGATCACTTCTTGTACCTCATTTTTAACATGTTTAGGACCCACAAAAATTTGTTGATGTGATTCTTGAAACGCCAAAACGAATCAAGAACGTGAAGCACAAGTCCGGATCTACGTTAGGAATCACGTTTGGTGATGGAGTTCGTAATCTATCTTGAATCGCACAAGAAAGACTAGAACGGTTAGGACAACGCCACAATCAAGGGGACTACTTGATTGATAAGTTGACGAATCACCTTAAGGCAACTCTAAGATGTTCAATAGTGGCTTCACAAGCCAAGGAGAACTCTTTCATTCATGAAAGAAATCTAGAAAATTTTCTCAACTTTTATTTTTTTCCCTAAAACGTGAAAGTAAAGGCTTTTTATAGCCTTTTACAAGACCAAAACTCATAATCCAACTAGGAAGTAAGAGACTTAACCCTAACTCCAATTAACTCTATGAATTAACTCCAATTGGCTACTAACTATGGTCAACATGACCTTGAGCCATTTTATTAACTAATTGACTAAGACGACCAAACTCAAATTTTGGAATTAACAACCAAATGACATAAAACAATGGAAATAAGCCACAACAGCCCATAAAGGGGACCATTCGGCCAAGACACAATGAAGACACCATGAAATGACTCTAGCTCAATGCAAACGGATTTAATAAATGTTATAATCAGCTAGTCTCGTATCATTTGTTCTAAAGTTACACGTTGTGTAAACAAAGTTACGCCGTGTGAAAACAAAGTTACGCACTGTGCAAAATATACATAATTCCATTGATGTTCCTCCGAAGACCTGGCTTTTAGTGTTCGTACGATCTACTTTTGTTGTTGGCCTTATCACTTCTTCTTTTTTTTTTTGGCCAACCCAAAATGGATGATAGCTTATAGAGCATTTTACGGGAGTTGTCCCTGTCCTCCGTGTTTTGCTCAAATGAATGACGACTTACCTTCTAGTCATTCTGACCATCCTGTTCCTTATGCTCTGTGTCATGTGACAATGACGTTGGTGATTTGAAAGCTAGTAGTATTTGCGGTGATTGCAAGTTTTTGTTTTGGGAGAATCATAGGACGCCCATCCAAGATCATTTCAGAATAAGAGCACCTGGGTTGCTAAAAAGAAGGTATAGAAGTTCTGAACCGATTGAGAGTCTTTTTCGAGCAGTTTTCCCAAGCAATTAATCAGGCTATTGGTTTAGAACACGACAATATATCCATAGATGATGAAACTGCTACCACGTCTGTTCGACTTAGAAGTTCGCGAATAGTTCCAAAAGGTGGAGATAAGTACTTTTCTGATACTAAAAGTGATGGTTTCGAGTCTCTGTTTGGAGAGAGCGAATCAAATGAAAGTTTCAGTGGCTCCAGGTTTTTCCCCGGTGAAAGTGATACGGTTTCTTTTGGAGGCGAATCTGGTGTTTCTGCGGATGAACATACTTTCTTGGAAAATGAAATTTATCACTATCCAGATCGAGTAAGTAACCAAGATGCTGATACTGATATTGATCCTATGCATCATGCTGGTCTCTACTATTGGAACTTAGATTATGCTGAAGACGAATATATTAACTCAGGTGAGACAAATGCAACATGATTGTTTCTGTGGTGTTTGGAGTTTAGCCACGTAGACCAATTAGCCTGTACTATGGCCGGTGGTGTTCAACAAGCCCTTTTGCCACAGTTCGAGGGCATAATTCTTTTGAGAATTCAGGAAAGGACAAGGGGACGCTACACCCATATCTTCACTAATTTGGAGGAACCTGTATGTAGGACAGAGTTATCTTGGGAATCCTCGAGACTATCTGCCTAGCAGAGGATTCAAAGAACTGCTCGAGCATCTTGCAGAAAGTGAGAGTTCTAGAAGTGGAGTGAAGAGGTGATTTTTGGGCAGATGAGTTGCCTCGGATATCTGGAGTACACCCTTGCTTGAAGAGATAATGACACCAGGATCACCTGCTCAGATGGTCAGAGGTGGGGGCTAAGTCCCCCGATTTTCCTCCGAAGAATAAGTTAGTTCGGGGTGAGATATTAGGAAATTGTGTGGGGAGAGTAGGATTCTGTTACTAGAGATTCGTCCCCTCTTCCAGTGGGAGGTCCTAGTATTTATAGGGGACAATTTGGAGGGAAGGACCGTGGATCCAACTCTATAGAAATCTGATTAAGACAGCATATTACTCTGATTTTGACCAGCGTGTCAGGACCAGCGCGTCAGGACCAATGTGTCAAGAGTCACACCCATCACTTCTTCAATTGTCAGACCTTTGGGTGGAACCTCGGCGACGTGAGTCATGGCTCGGCCGAGGTGACCACAGAAGTCGAACTTCATCCCGGTCGCCTATGGGCACAAGGTGTCCGACGTAATGACGCGGGGGTTTAACATGCCGGACCAAGGTAAGGCCCCGGAACTCCCAAGCCGAATTGGCCATCCTTACTAAGCCCCCGAAGTTTCGGGAAGAGGGAATTTGCTCGCCACTTCCCGAGGCTTTCAAGTGGTTCCGTAGTGTGAACCATAGCAATGACACGTCATGTACGCGTAAATGTGACTGGAAGGAAGAGGATGTGATGGTCAGCAGCTTTAATGACAGTTTCATAGATATACGCGAAATCACCGGTCAGGTGAACACCCTTTTCATTAATGAGGAGAGAGAGTGCTCCCTCGAAAATATCAAGAGTATTGTCCCTTCAGTTTCTTAACGCTTGCCTATAAATAAAGGGGTTCCTTTCACCCTTTCACCTTTTATCACAAAAGTTTTTAATCACCTCAGAGCAAATCTTCTCTGAATTTTCACCTCGGCAACCACCGAAATCCCGTTCCTTCAAGAGTAAGTTTATCACTTCGTCTCCTTTACTTATGGCTAGAACAACTCGCACAAACAAGAAGACGGTGAGGCCACACTACACCGAAACAGAGAGGGCCGATCCCTCCGAGGAGAGAACTATCCCCGAGCCCAGGGGAGAGACTACTGAAGCATCTAATCAGGCCGGGATGTCCCCAGCGCAGAGCGAAGATGAGGCCGAGGTAATCTATAACGATGATCTCGGCAACAAAATACCAATGGACGAGGGCATGCAAGAGCCGACCACCCCTCCAGACCTATCGTCTATTGACTACGGCCAGGTCCCCATGTTCAACAGCATCATGTGCCAGATTCTGATAGCCGAGCTGATTCATAAGTATCCTTGGCGGAGAAATTACAGTATTTACCCACCTCGACCGGACCAATCGGCCGAACTCCCGCCAAGGAGTAGAGTGGCTATCTACGCCGATCAGCTAGAGATCGGATTCAGGATGCCGACTACCAGGTTCCTTCGAGATTGCATGAGGTATTGAAGGGTGAGGATCACTCAAATCACCCCCAGTGCAGTCCGGGTCTTGGTCGGCTTTCAGATACTGTGCCGACACCAGAAAATAACCCCTAACGTC